TCTGGGCATGACAGTTGGAGCTTATCTTGACCAGTTTAAAAGGAGTGGGAAGGCAGACCCATTCCCTGGGTCAGGGTCCTGAGGGCATAAAAAGGAAAAAGTGAGCTGAACTCATAATATTCATCACTGCTTCCTGACTGTTGCTGCCTTAAGGTTGTGAGCTAGACTTTAATGGCTGAGTCATCTCTCCAGCCTCTGTGGCTGCCTTAAGGTCTCCTTTACTTCTGTACCATGACAGGAATTACCTTGAGTTGTGGGTCAAAATTAATCCCCTTTCTCCTGGTTTACTTCTGTCAGAGTATTTTATCAAAGGAACAGAAAAGCAACTGTGACATTAGAGTATGATTGTTTCACATGTGTGCTTAAGAGAAATCGAGAATAGAGAGCAAAACAACTGTAAAGGGATTCATGAAATGTGAAAAAAGCAGCTTTAGGATAATAGGAAACACATGATATGAAAGCGATATAGTAATACTGGAGCCTGAAGGGCATAGCAAGTAAGGGCAGTGGTAGGGATGGAGATGCTCAAAAGCAAAACAGTAGGACCACATCAGCAGACGCAGATAAAGCACTGACAAAATTCTACATCCACTTGTGATTAAAATTCTCAGCAAACGAAGAACAAAAGGTGATTCCCTCAACTTAATAAAGACTACCCACAAAAAATACCCATGATTAACACTGTTCTTAACAACCAGAAACTCAAAATATGCCTACTAGAAACAAGCAGAAAGCAAAGCTGCATTTCATCACTGATTTAGATGTCTTATTGTACACCTTAATTTATTCACAAAGATAAATAAAATATATACTTATGTGAAGAAAGATAGAAAATTGACTTTATTCCAAGGTAATGTGAACATCTATATAGAAAACGTGCTTGTTTTGCACCCCCTCAGAAAACTGGCAAACAAATGAACAAATCTCCTGCAACTAATAGGCAGTTACAGCAAGGTTGCAGGACATAAGGTTAATGGAGAGATGTCAATTTGTTTCCTGTAATCTAGCAAGGAACAAGTGGAATGTAAAGTGAAATGTCATTACTATGTGTATTTGCATCTCCCATGCTTGGTATGGGTCTGATAAAATGTGTGTAAACTCTATTCATAAGAAGAACTATAAATTTTGATGAGAAATATCAAAGAAGAGATGAACTAGAGAAAGAGCCCAGTTTTTCCTGGAGGATCATTGTTGTTAGGATGCTAACCTTACCTAAGTACATTTGCAGATCAAAGGCACACCACCACCACACTAAGTTACTAAATGGACAGCAACAGCATGGTAGACAAATTTACATGGGGAGGCTGGAGACCCAGAATAGCCACCACTGAACACTGTATCAAGGGAGAAGACAAGCTAAGGCACAGAAACTGATTTGGAACTGTAATATCAAGCAACAACAATCAAAAGCCAGTACAATGGGGCCCAAGAAAAACCATAAGTCAAACCATACAGATAAAGCAGTATAACCCAATAAAAGTCCCAAATGGAGATAAGTGAGTAAAAATAACACTTTTGACCAAGGAACAAAAGTTATTCACTTTGGCAACACATCAGTCTTTTCCACCAACTTTACAAGTCAAAAAATGCAAATAAAAAGAATGCAGACACATTACCAGCTCTACAAAATGTAATTCAGTATGAACCATAGATCTGAATGTAAAATCACAAGTCTTCTGAAAAATTATATAGGAGAAATTTAGATGACCTTAAGTAAGAGATAGTATTTTAGCTATAATACTAAAACTGCCAATGAAATAATAAATTGGTACATTGTGGTTGATTTAAAGCTTTTGCTATAAGAAAGACACTGTTAAGAGAAGCAAATGGCAGAAAGACAATTAAGGAAATGCTCAACATCCTTAGTCATCAGGGAAATGCAAATCAAAAACACTCTAAGATTCCATCTTACACCTATCAGAATGATTAATGTCAAAAACACCAATGACAGCTTATGCTGGAGGGGATGTGGAGAAAGGGGGGCACTCCTCTAATGCTGGTGAGAGTACAAACTTGTACAGCTGATGTGGAAATCAATATGACGATTTCTCAGAAAATTAGGGATCACCCTTCCTCAGGATCCTGCAATACCACTGTTGGGTATACACACGAAGGAGGCACATTCACACCACAAGGACATTTGCTCAGCTATGTTCATAGCAACATTATTTGTAATAGCCAGATCTTGGAAACAGCCTAGATGCCCCTCCACTGAAGAATGTATAAAGAAAATATGGTATATTTACACAATAGAGTACTACTTAGCAGTAAGAAACAATGGCATCTTAAAATTCACAGGCAAATGGGCAGAACTAGGAAAAGAACCCTAAGTGAGGTAACCCAAAACTAGAAAGACAAATATAGTATGTATTCACTCATAAGTGGATACTAGAAATAAAGCAAAAGATAACCAGCCTGCAATCCACAACCCCAGAGAAGCTAGAACCTTCTTCTAGAAACAGATGGAAGCTGATGCAGAAATCTACAACTAACCAATGGGCCAAATTCCTGGAGTACAATCGAAGACCAATAATATGAACAAAGGAGTCAAGACCATGATGGGGAAACCTACAGAATCAGCTGACCCAAGCTAGTCAGAGATCACTAAGTCAGGTCTGAGACATGGGGAATCTGCATAAAACCAAACTAGATTCCCTTAATATAGGTGGCAATGGTGTGACTGGGACAATATATAAGGCCACTGGCAGTGGGTCCAAGACCTAACACTAATAATGTACAAACTGACATAGTAGAGCCTAATCTATATGGAGAGATACCATGCCCAGGCTAAATACAGGGGCGTGGGGATGGAGAGGTGCCTTGGTCCTGCCTCAGCTAGATAATGGGACAGACTTAGTAGACTTCCTACAGGAGGCCTTACCCTCTCCGTGAAGCAGATGAGAGGAGGGGGGAGTGGAGGAAGTTGGAGGAAACGAAGGAGGGGGACCTGGGATTGGAATGTAAAAAATAAATTAATAAAAAAGGAAGAAAAATACATACCTATAACAAAATTGATTTAAATTTGTATAAATAAATAAAATCCTTATCAATACAAAAAAGAGTAATAAAAGAAAGCATCAAACTAGGAGAAAGTATTTGCCAAAGATACCTTGTTGAAGAACTGCTATCTAAACTCTTAGAAGATAACAGTAACAGGACTGCCAAGATGGCTCGGAGGGTAAAGAAACGTGAAGCATGATGACCTAAGAAGATCTCAGATGACATAGAGAGCTGTAAGGAGAGATTTGCCCTCTAAACCTACACAAGCAGAATGTGGCATAAATGTGCCTTTCCAAGCATATGCATGCAAACACATATACATTAACAGCAATAATGGAAAAGATGGAAAACTAACAATAACTAAAAACATGACTGAAAAGTGAGCAAAGGTCCTCAACAGACACTCCATAAAGGAAAATATATTTAATATAGGCACTACAAGTGACCAAACCAAAAACACTCAGTGGGTAGTGCTGCATGCCTTTCATCCCAGCACCCAGGAGGCAGAGACAGGTGGATCTCTGTGAGTGTGAGGCCAGCCTGGTCTACAGATTGAGTTCCAGGACAGCCAGGACTGCTTTACAGAGAAACCTTGTCTTGAAGGACCAAAATCAAAATACTCAACATCATATGTCATTGGGAAATTATAAACCAAAACAATGAGATCCACTTCACACCTGTTAAAATTGTCAGGGTCTAAAATACGGTCAACACTAATGTGGGGGAAGACATGGAAGAAAATTCTCATTCACTGATTGTGGGAATGTAAAATGGAACAGTCCCTGGAGAAGAAAGTTTCAATGTTTACAAAGCTAGGCACATTCTAACCATAAGACCTAACCATTGCTATCCTTAATATTACCCAAATGAACTGAAAACTTATACTCACATGCAAATGTATGCTCATGACAAATTCATTTAACAGACCAACCCTAAAACAACCATAGTTTCCTTCTGTAAATTAGTAAATAAATAAATCTTGATTTATGTACACAAAGAAGTACCACTACATGCTAAAAGGGTATGAGATAGTAAGCCTTGGAAACAGATGGCAGAAACTTAAGTGTGTATTCCTATGTAAAATAATCCATTTTGCAAAAGTTACATATTTTAAGATTACAGTTTTGTATTATTCAGGAAACTGCAAAAGCACTAGGACAGTAAATGGTTCAGTGGTTAGCAGTGAAAAGGAGAAGGAAATAATAGGTGACACACTAAGGTTTTTGAGGTCAACAAGATGATCCTGTGAGGCACCCCAGTGATGGGTATATTTGTTTTGTATTTGTATTTGCAGAATGTACAAAAACAAAATAAGATATGGACATTGGAAGAGAAAAGTGTGTCAATGTAGATTCATTGTAATACACACTTCACTCTGGGAAAAATTAGACATTGGAGCAGGCTGTGTAACTTGATGGGAACTCACTCCATTCTTTGCATATGAATCTAGGACCACTCTAAAGATTATTAATTCATGTATGGTGGGGGCCTGCTTATAATTTCAGATTACAAGATGATTAGATAGAAAAAGTTAGATTTGAAGCAAGACTTGTCTGCATAGCAAACTCTGGATAGCCAAGCCTACATAGAAGATCTCTTCTGAAAATATAAACTTTATTAAGAGCAAAAGTGATTGATTACATTTCTGCATGCCAGCATTCAGCATTGCTAATGTGTTAATTTCTTTGTTAGGGTGTAGGTGTTTTCTGAGTCCTGCACAATGTTCTTCCCTAGAAAGAATTTATAACATTATTTCAGAGCCTTTGTGGGAGATGCTCATTCTTATTTCACAGGTAGTACTGCTCACAGACATGGGCCTAGAGGTTGAAAAGAGTGGACTATCAGTTGATGTCTGTATATATATGTGGTTTGGGGCTCCTCAGTCAATTTTTATCAGTTGAATTTAAAAATTATAGAACCTAAATTATTTTTAAATGTAGATTCTGTATTTCTTCTGAAGATTGGAAGTTGCTTGCTAACTATGGCTGCTTTCACTTAAGATGGCTGTCAGCTGGACACCAGCAAGCCCTGTCCATGGGTTCCGAATGTCTAATGATAGTTGTATCATCCAGTTAATTAGTGCTACTGCTACTGAACAGGTATGTATCCATCTCTAGTTCTTTGGTTTTCTTTTTTCATATTTACAAGCATGTTCACATGTATGTTTCTTGAAAAATTTTGTCTTAGGGCTCTTAACATGCTGTACACTGTGTTGTAGCTCATGCTGGATGTCTCATCATACTGGTTTATTTCAAATATGGGGAAAATAAAAGCATAAGGTTTATCACAGCTTATGATTTTGCCTAATCTTTTTATGAATGAAAGTCTTACAGGCACAAACTTTTCAAAAACATCTTGAATTTACTAGGAGGATGCAGGTGCAGTCCTGTGAAATGAATAAAGACTGCCTATGAGTTCATAGACCATAGCCTGATCATGAGTTGGCTTTGGAGGAAGCAGAAGTAGGAAATACTGTTTAGAAGACTGGATGAGACAGCCTTGCTTACCCTACAAATCAACAACTATTAATCTGGTTCTACTGTCGATGAACTGTCATGATGGTCGAATGAGTGTATGTGTATATTTGTTTGCTTGTGACAATGTCTAATGAAGTCAGGATGACCTTTGAACCCATGATAATCTTGCCTTCACTTCCAAGATATTGAGGTTATATAGTCATCATTTACCACTTGCAACTTAAATCAGTATGTTCATCAGGTTTTCTTACTGTGATAAAATGCCTAACATAATCAGCTTATAAGTAAGAAACACTTATTTTGGCTCATAGTTTTTAAGGTTCCACTCCGTGATCACTTGGCCCTGTTGTTTGTGTCTGTGGTGTTACAGTATATAACAGTGGAAGATGTGTAGAGAGGCTTTTTAACCTCATAGCATCTGGAAAGCAAAGGAAAGAGGAAAGTAGAATAAGACCTAGTATCACCTTCAGGAGAATAACCTCAATGTCTTGATTTTCCCTCAATGAACTCACTTCCTTCCTATTTATTGATCTTATTATCTCCCAGTAGGCTTGGGGACAAAACTTTGTACATATGCTTTGGGGGGACATTTATCCAAACCACAGTGGAGTCTTTTTTTTGATACAGCTAAGGGGATGCTTTCAAGTATTTTAGTATGTATAATTTAATTATTTTGATCACTGTAATTCTGTCTTACCTCATGTTATAAAGGTCACAAAGAAAAGAGCTCCTTCATTCTCATAGGCAGGAATTCAGGGCATTTCATAAACTGAGGGTGTTGTGGGTTTGGGGTTTGACCTGTTGTTTTCTACAAGCAATACAGACGTTTTCATTTGTATAAAACTATCCCTTTGGAGAGGTGATTTCTGGGAGTTAGTCTCAAAACAGCATTTGAGATGATGAAAGAACTGCAAAAGTAAGAACCCTATAGAATGAAATAAACAAGTCTACACAGATCCAGACCACAAATCAGAGAAGCTATGCATCTCTGCAATTTATTGGATTTTCACAGCACCCTCAATTTGTAACGTGCCCTTAGGTCCTATCTAGAGCCTGAGGGAGCTCTTTGCTATTTACCTTTGTTACATGAAGTAAGACAGAATTGCAATGGTTAAAATAGTTAAATCAGACATCATAAAATACTCAAAGACATTCCTTTAGCTGTATCATAATAGGCATTCCACTATGGTTTGCAGCTAAGCTTCAAGGCCTCAGTAATGTGGGCTTTGGGTCAAACAGTCTCCCAGAAGGACATTTCGCCAAGGGCAAGGAAGCAACAGCAGATGAGGGCTCCAAGAGTAGACGAGGGGAATGAGACTGCTGTTTAACTAATAAAATTAAATATGGGAGCATTCAGAGATGCTGGGTATTTTAGTAAAGTTCAATGTTATAATACATTGTTTCTGAGACTCACTGATTTGAAATGGTTGGTGATGGACACATTCCAAACTTTGCCCTAGCAGAACTAATGCTAGCTGTACTTGTTATTTTATTGTTTATTACATTCTTTCAGTCTCCCTCCCTACTCTTGTCATGTGTACTATGTGTAGACAGGCACTTAAACCTCTGTGTTGTGGTCAGAGGACAACTTGTAGAAGTTGGTTCTCCTATGTAGGTACTGAGAATTGAACTTATTCATCAGGCTTGACAGTAAGCACCTCCAAACAATTTTGTATAGCAGCTAGAATAAGGTAGTCAACTGTGGAGTCTAGCCCATTAGGTCTCTCCTTTGAACATTTGTCTTTATGGTCTCATGAGAGCAATGGAAACAAAATTAATCCCATGTTTCCTAAAAGGAAAATGTTTGGCCTCCCAATGGCACAGTTTAGTGGAAAGGACTTCTCTCTGAGATTTCTAATTATGGACTTTGAAGATCACACTGTTCCTTCAAAGGAACTCCTCTTGGGTTAGGGAGATGGCTCACTGATTAAAGCACTCACTGTGAAATCATGAGAACTGGAATTCGGATCTCTTGTACCCACACAACAGGGTACAGAGGAATGTGTCTTTCACCCCAGAGCTGATAGATGTGTGTGTAAGAATGATGGACCTGGGACTTGCTGACAGGACAGCCTAGTCCACATAACCAGTCTCAGGTTCAATGACAAAGGCCAACAGTTCAAAAACTAAAATTGGCATCAATAGAGGAAGACACCCAAAGTTGACCTTTGGCCTCTTCACACACAGAGGCCTACCACCCTGTCACCATCCACCCCCTTCACGGAACTGTTATTTGTTGTAGCAGCTGCAAGGGGAAAACAAGGTCAACAACAGTCCAAATGTGGGCTGGCATCCATGGTCCACATTCACGCCTCCTGCAGATGGACATGCTAATAGGGATCTTGCTGCACGCACTAGAAACTTGCACATTTGGTGCTGGCTAGGGAGCCTTGCACAGCCAATGCCTTGGCACAATGGACCCCCAGCTGCTTTTCTTTTCTTTAAAGATGCCTTTGAATCCTATTTCCCCTCCTGTGGAGTGGCTGCAGGAGCCACCCTTGATTCTGCTTTTGGAATCTCACTGACACTGGCTTCACAGCAGGTGGGGTGATGAATATTGTGAGACTAAGGTATAGTTGGAGAACAGGAAAGATTGCTTACTGAGATGAAGAATATGTAAAGACTAGAGACAGATATCAGAGGAAACCCTGAGGGTCTCCTACCCTCTAGCATTTGGCCCAGACAAATGTGAATTTTCATTTGAGAGGGCTTTACCTGAGACTCTTGGCAAGAAAGCTGGTCTAGTTTTTTTTAAGCCTTTGTGCCTTGGGTTGTGGGACTTAATGAACCAGCTAGTTCTGATTTGGTCAGCAGGATTATGTGGACCTTTGTGATTTTCCTAGCCAGACTTGATTTGTATGCATTGTTTTAATGGCTTTTCCATCCAACCTCTTTCTTAAGAAACATTCCGTTTCTTTTACATCTACTTTTGAATGAGGGATGCAAATCAGAGCTAGTGAGAGAGGTTAGACTTATCTCCCATTTTAGTGGGATGGCAGAAGTAATACTGGAGGTTTTCATTTCCTAAGATTTGGGGATGTTTGTGAAATCAAAACAGTCCTTAGATTTCCTACTGTCTTTTGCCCAGGACATGCCACACAGGAGAAGTCAGAATGGTCTCCAGGGAAATCAGTTGAGTTTTCTCTTCAGCTGCACTGGTTCCCTCTTGCCAAAGAGTGGTTTGCTCCTTTGCAGGTGAGCAAAACACATGTGGCCAGCTCTCTGCAAGTCTTCTATCCAGGAGGGAGGTTCCTGAGGATGTGGCTCTTACATGGGAGAAATGACACATCAGTGTCTTTTTCCAGCCACCAAATAGAAGTCATTCTCAGAAGGTGAAGGCCTGGGCTTTTTGATATGGTCTCAGGAAGCCTCCCTGGAAGAGCCACGTGGTAACCTGGATGCTCTAGTTCCACAGTCTGTCAGAACAGATGGTTCTTTGGTCAGCCTGAATTACAATGAAGAGTACCCACATCTTCCAGAAGAGGCAGACATCCTGCAGATAGCACTGGAGAGAGGGAAGGCCTTCACAGGTCCTGGTGGTTCTCATAGGGTGAGCTCTAAGATGGGGAAGCAGTGGTACTTTTACATTACCTAGTCTTGGAGACCTGGTGATCACATCTATATTATGTGAAATGCTACAATGCCAGCTCCAAAGGCCAGGGCCCACTAGTGTTGGGTCTTCCACAGCATTACAGGCTGCCTTGGATAGAGGATTCAAAGCCAGCAGCTAGCTGCCTAAACGGCAAAGGATTAGGTTTCCTGGGGAACTTCAGCTGCTGCTTGCTTTGAGAGCTTTTGTCCACCTGGCCTCTAGGATTCTTATGTGGAGATGCTGCCTGACCCCATGACTGGGGAATTCATGGAGTTATGATTAGCTAGAAAGTACCTCAGGTGGTCCCACCATCTTTATAGTGGGTCTTATTCTTGTCATTTTGGGGTGCTGGTTTTTAAGACAAGGTCACACTCTAAGTCCAGGCTGGAATTACAGGAGCAAGCTACATATTTGGCTCCTATAGCAGCTAATACATAGAAGCTACTGCCCTGGAATTCCCAGTCATCAGTACTGTGCTTCCCTGGTCATCACTCAAGCCAAGTGTGAATTCCCACTATTACTCCTCCTGCCAGCCATGACACATGAAACTCTAAAAATGAGGCATTCCCTTCTTCCATACATGGGTTGGGACTAGAGAGGAGTGAATGGAGGTGATTTTTTCCCTAGTTCTACCTTACAAGGAGTGTCCTTATGCGTGCTCTCTTTCTGCCATCTAGGTTCCTAGCGTTAAACTCTGGTTCTCAGGCATACCAGCGAATGCCATTATTTCCTGAGCCATCTTTCTGGACCTCAAGGTTATTTTGATCAGCAGCTAGGTAACAACACTCCTCACTGAGAAGAAAAAAGTGGGAAGAGGAGAGGATTGGAAGAGGTAAGCCTGTCGTTTCAATTGGACCGGGCATGCTTGAGACAGCTTTAGACTTCCACATGGAGATATGGAGTAATTAGGTAGATATGAGGTCTTGGGCCTCAGGGAAGAGATGTGCGGGCAACAGATAAAAAGTGGGCTCATAGATAAATAGTTGTAATTGAAGTCTGGAGGTTGAGTAAGATCTGAAATGAACTAAAAGAGAGTATAAAGGGCCCAGAGGAGAGACTAGCCTTGGGCCCTATGGCCCTATGAGGTGAAAAGCTGGGAACTGAAGAAGCAAGCTTCAACTTCAGCTGTCAGGAGCCTCCACCCTGAAGGCAAGTAGGAGAACTGGTTTGCTCTGAAAGCATGGCCCACTGCCTTAAAAGCTGCAGACAGATCAGTGGACTGGGGCAATGGAATGTGCTGTCTCCTTATCAGATGCTCCTCAGGAGTAGTGAGGTAAGAGGTTGAAAAAGCATCTTATTGGAATTTTGCTAAATTTGTAGAAACCTTTAAAAAGTATTGATGGCTTCCAAATATTCTCTCTACACACATCCACATGTCAAATTGTAGAGACTGTAGTATATTGATTATATCATATTGTATCTCTACAAACAGAAAATTCTCTCCTCTTTTTGTCTTCCTTTTATCATACACTTCACAGGCCGACCAAAGTTAGAATTCTAGTCTGGGGAGTTGAGGCACCTCTGGAAGGATGGAGAGGCAGTGCTTCTTTGTGACTTTGGAAGAGAACATAAGGAATGACTAGGCTGGGAACCTGAAAGCATCAAAGTGTGACAGAGCAGGAAGGAGGAAGAAGAGGAGAGGCTGTGGCTTAGTGTCCAGTCAGCGTCATGACCTTAATTTCTACTCGACTTTACGCACTGTTTTGCTGATTTAACTTTAAAATTTGAATACTTAATTCACTCATTTGGTTCCAGAAAAAAAATGGGATTTAAAATGAATACAGTAAAAGGTCCCACCATCCAAGGTTGATTGGTTTTCTAGCCATTGTGGTTCTTCCAGGTCAGTCTCCATACCTACAGGGTTTCCTCTACACTACACCCAGGGGCTCAGCTCCCATCCGGGCTTCAGGATGTCTCATTTTTTCCCTCACCTGAAATAGTTTATATATATATGATTATTTTTCTGCTTACCTAGGAAACGATGCAAAGAGTATTTTCAAACAAAATGAAATGACTAATATTTAGTTTCAATTCCATTTACTTGCAGACAACACCTGAGTGTTTTGTTTCTGATTTTAAAATGATTTTATTTCTATTCTTTTAATGATCTGCACATTTAAACTGCAGTCCAGATGTTTTGTATGAGGAAAGAAAAAAAAGGTCTTGGTTTGTTCCTAGTACCAGGAAAAGAGAAGAAAAAAAATCAAACCGTGCTCTAATAAAATTCAGTTATTAAATGATTTTGTGTGTGTTTCATTCGCTTTCCCCTATAGTTTATTGTTAGTCTTTGTTCATGTATTTACCAACCATCAACTTAAGGTATCATTTATTCCTTTTATTTATTTGGTGCACTGACAATCAATATCTTTTTTTAAATTTATTTTTAGTTTTGTTTTTTCCAGACATGGTTTCTCTGGCATTAATCAGTATCTTACACACACTAAGAAAGTGCTGTTTTATTGAGCTATAGCTCAGCCCTGAGGTACCATTCACACATAGTCACATCTGTTTAATGAGAATAGTTCTGTATAGCTGAGGTTCAGAATGCCTGTGAAATAAGCACCACAGTCAAGGCTCCTGTGAGACATTGCCATTAGCCACAATCACTTTTTCCATGCTCTTTTTAAGAGTTCCCCAGCCCTCAGCCTTTGACCCCACACAACTACTGGTTTACTTTCTGCCAGGAATTAGTGTGTATTTTCTAGAGCTATAAAGAAGTATGTATTCAAAAAGTATCATATACTATGTGATATTTAGTGTATGAATTGAGATCCATCTATGTTGCTGCCTTTACTAATTTGTTGTTTCTTATTGTCATATAATATTCTACTGGACAGCTAAACCACCCTTTGTTTACCCACTGACCGGTGCTGGACATTGGATTGTTTCCAGTTTGGGGTTATTCTGATTATCAACAGAGTTAACAGGAACATGCACATACAAGCCTTTGTGTGGACACATGTTGTTATTTCTCTTGGATAAATACCCAGGAGTCAACTTAATGAGTCATAGAATAAACACAAGCTTAACTGCTTCCTGTTCTTCCACTCCTGGCCTCATGTTGCAGTACTAGGGAGGAGGACCAACTACCAATGGGTAGGTCATGAGTTCAGGGTGAGGCAGGCTTTACTTAGGCAGCTGGTTAGAGGGCTAATAGGTCTTAAAGCATGCAAACTCTGGTGTTATACCTACCTGTCTTGTTTGCAGCATAGTATGCTAAGACTGGGGCTAGGGATGGGGCTCTGATAGACACATGCTTATCGAAACAATGTTTAATCTTACCAAACTCTAAAAACAGCATATCAGTAATTTTTATTAGCATTGCAGACTTTGAATAATCTCCTTGGATTAGATCTAGCAGCAGTTGGCATCAGAGGGAGACACCTTAGAGATGGCGAATGCTCGCTCTTTCTCTCCATGGGTGCTACTGAGCAGAAGTCACCTCTATTGACTGGAAGAGTGACTCTTTTGCCTACATCCTATTCAACATTAAAAATGACATAGGAGATGCTGGATAGATACACTTTCTCAGGCCTTCCCCAAATCCGAGTGAGACTAAATATTAATGAAATCGAATAGCTTGTTCCTTAAAAGCATTTTAACAAGCTCACTACTTCTTTTTTAGTATTAGTGTCAATGAAAATGACATAGATAGCAGAATTAAAGTTTAATTAAGCACATAAATATTACTACTTAGTAACACAATATTTCTAGTTAACTATACCTAAAAATGATTTTTTGCAAAGACTCCAAGTAAATGCTACCACCAAAAGCCAGAAAAGTCAAATCAAAACAAAAGAAAAAACCCGTTTGCCATCTAACGTAAAAAGCACAAAGAGGGCTGGCAATATAATTCAGGGGTAGACACTTAAGCAGTATGTTGACATGTGAAAGGTCCTAGATACACACAGACATACAAAAACATATATGAAAGAATAAAGAGTAAAGTCCATACATGACAAACTCCAAAAGATGGAGCTCAAGTCATGGATCAATAGTGAAGGGTACAGACCTTTCTTGAAGAAGACTTCATTTCAGTTCCCACCAACTAAGCCAGGCAGCTCACAAAGCACCTGTAACTCCAATGCCAGTGGATCTGTCCTCCCGACTTCAGCTAATAGCTGAACTCATGTGCACACCCACATACACCTAACTTCAAATAATAATAGTTAATTTTTAAATAAAAGAGAAACTACAAGGGTCAAGACAGCAGAGAAAGAATTATGTGTAACAGTAAAAATGATAGGAAACACTCCAAAAGCTCTCTGAATATAAATATGAATTTGTAACTCATGTATGAAATAATGTTTTATTATTTTTTTTCTAGGGAATCAGAAAGGAAAACATTTCTGCGATTACTTTTTGATCATCACATGGATACATTCATACACATTTATACATGCATGCACATGCTCTGGTGGAAACACACACACACACACACACACACACACACACACACACAAGATGCACAAAATCATGAAGCCTGGACATCTGCCAAGGTAATGTCCCGGGAAGACACATCATCTGTGCCCTGCTGATAAGCTGGCCTGTATGCTGAATGATGACCTCACTTCCATCCAACAAGACATCCCTGAGATGTTTCAGGAACAGACAAGATCAGAATGTAAACAAAACTTTGAATGTTCAGGGAGCTACTAAGAGAAAAGACTACCAAGGCCTCTTTCACACTTACATGAGCAGTAACAGTTGCTGAGGAGATGGGATTGTCCAATCAGTTGAGCTTACCTGCGTGCTGTGATTTGAGGATGCAGTTTCACTCAAGCCTAGCTTAATGGACAAATAGGTTTATTTTGAATACTTTAAGGAGATGGGTGAAGGTTTACTTACAGCCTTGTATCAAAGGAATATGCACCATTAAAAAAGCCCTGTCCATGATTGTTCCTGAGAACGGAAACCTTGCTGAGGACCCTAGAAGTGTCAGGGACTGGAAGACAATAGAGGGACTGATGGGGGAAGTCCTATGTATATGTCAATAAAGCACTGTTGGGCCAATGGAGAACCAAGATAGGTGGGACTAGGAGTCCAGGAGAACTCGGGGAAGGAGAAACACAGAGAGTCATGATGTAACGCCATGGGGTAGGAAGCCCGAAACTATTCTCCGATAAGAGAAATACTTAGATTAACAATTATGGGGTAATTACTTAAGTCAGAGCTAGCCAGTAAGAAACAAGCAAGGCCAACAGCTTCATCATTAATATAGTCTCCTGTGTGTTTACTTGGGACTGATGCGGCTCTAGAACCAGGCTGGCGGGAAGGCTTCTTTCAAGAAAAAGGCTTCCCTTTACAAGGGACCACAGGCATTATAAAGAAAACAGAGAGTGAAGATGGTAATGGCTGATTCTCATACACTGGACCCAATAGCCTGAGTTTACAGTACAGTTTTAAAGGGGTTCATTCAGCAGAGGCCCTAGGACTAGTGTGGGGTTAGTGGTTCTGCTGCAGTCTATGACTATCTATTGCCTGTCTGAGGTAGGTAAGGCATCAGTAGTTCTAAATGGTTTAGACCAATGTGTAGATTGGGGTTTTAAGATTCTATAGCAACCAAGATGGGATGAGGGGAAGATAAAACAGACAGATCTGTCGCTGGAAGAAGACAAATGGCAGATCTGTGTTGAGTTGAATTCCTTGGGGAAAAATTAAGAGGAAGGTAAAAGCTGTAGGAGTAAGCTTCTGGGACTCTAGAAAGCCCAAGAAACAATTCTCAGACAATGTAAGTTAGTGGTGGCAAGTCCACACCCTATAGGCCTCGTGGAGTCTAGTACAGCTATGAGCGCAGCCCAGCAGAAAATTGCAAATTTACTTAGAGCAAGATTCTTTTGGTTTTGTTTCATCTTCGGGACATTCTTTCTCTTTTTAACAGTCCTATTTGTCCTGGTACACATTTTGTAGACCAGGCTTGCCTCGAACTCACAGAGATCCGCCTGCCTCTGCTTCCCAAGTGCTGGAATTAAAGGCATGTGCCACCACTGCCTGGCATTAGAACAAGATTTACTTTTATGACTTTTTAAAATTTCTTGGCTATGTGGCTTTCTAGTCTAACTGTGTGGATAACCATATTGTATTGCCATGTCATGCAAAATAAATGTATGTTCTTGCTATCTGTGGTTGGGCTTCTACTGCATTATGTGCCAAGTGCCAAAAGGCAAGCTGACACCATCAGACAGACATGTGCTCTGAGTGATGAGGCAAGTGATTGACAAAGGTTAAAATGACCATGGTAAACAAGGACATTCAATGTATTTAGGAGACATGATTATTCATGCCTGTTCCCCCTTCATTGTTATACTTTACAATCAATTGTTCATTTTGTACTATATTGGCAGATGAAACATGAAAGGACCCAAGCCTTGCTATTAGTCAGTTCATTTTCATAATAAAGGTATAATTTTCTTCTTCTTATATTATTATTATTATAGACTATATGTGGTTTCTACAAGAGAAGCCCTAAAAAACTGTATTAAAATTGTTCAGTGTAAAATGTCTACATTTTTGTCAAGGCAAATAGGCACTATGCTTAACCTACAAGGAATTTATGAAGGTTTTCAAAGATTATGGTCTGAAAAGGCATTATTTGAAAACACATACTGCCAGGTTTAGTAACCCTCAAGACTTGTGTTAGACAAACAAAACAGAGGAACTAGAAACATGCATGTCTTCTCAACAATAATTTATTTTCTTATAAGTTATAGATCATGCATCTTTTTGTAAAAACTCATTATGTGGTAGCATAACTAATGATAGGAAAAATCAGTATCATTTACTGTTAGTTTTTAAAGGCAAATTTGATTATGTCTTTTTACTAGACTTGTGTATGTCCTATCTTCACAGAGAGTAATGTACCTTACTTCAAGGGTACTTTATTCATGCCCTCAATTTTTAAAAAAAGTTATTTATTTATTTTGCATTCCTGCCACAGTTTTCCCTCCTTTCTCTCTTTGAAGCTCCCCATCCTCACTCTGTGCCCACCCCTAACCTACACCTCCTTCTTTTCTGTTTAGGAAAGGGCAGATAACCCATAAGTACCACAAGAACATGGCATATCAAGTTGCAGTAAGATTATCACATCCTCTGGGCCAGTATGAAGAGTAGGGTCCCAAAAACCAGTAAAAGAGTCAAAGGCAGCCCCTGTTACCATTGTTAGTAGTCCAACAAGAGGACCAAGCTATACAATTATAAAATATATTCACAGTGCCTAGGTCAGTCCTAGGCAGGCTCCTTGGTTTGTGGTTTAGTGTCTGTGAGCTCCTATGAGCCAGGTTAGTTGCTACTTTTCTGTGGTGTTCTTGACCTCTCTGGCTCCTACAAATCTTTTCTCCTCCTCTTCTGCAGAATTCCCTAAGCTCTGCCTGTGGGTTTTACTGTGGGTCTGCATTTGTTTCCTTAAGTTACTGAATGATGTTATATCTAATACCAACTGAGTTAGGCACCAATCTGGTCACAGAAGATGGCCAGTTCAGCTGGGGTCTTCCTTGTAGATACCCGAGAAAGACCCTTGTGCCAGGTTTTTACCTGACCCCAAGATGTCCCTTCCTGTTTCCAGTAGTCTATTTCAGTACTCCTCCTCTCTGCCCAACTCCCAAATCTGATTACTCACGTTCCCATCCTCACCCACCCACACTCCACTCACAAAATCTCTTCTATTTCCCCTTCCAAGGGAGATCGGGTGTCTCCTCATGAACCCTCCTTGTTACCTATCATCCCTGGGGCTGTCGATATTCCACTTATGAGTGAGTACATACCATTTTTGTCTTTCTCAGTCTGGGTTACCTCACTCAGGATGATTTTCTCTAGTTCCATCCATTTGCTTTCAAAATTTCTGGTGTACTTGTTTTCAACAGCTGAGTAATATTTGATGGTGTAAATGTACCATATTTTCTTTATCCATCCCTCAGTTGAGGGACATCTATCTAGGTTGTTTCCAGGATCCTGCTATTATGAATAAAGTTGCTGTGAACACAGTTGAGCAAGTGTCCCTGTGGTGTGAGTGTGCACCCTTTGAGTATATGCCCAAGAGTGGTATAGCTGGGTGTTGTGGCAGGTTGAGTCCCAATTTTCTGAGAAAACACCACCCTGATTTCAAAGAGGCTGTACAAGTTTACACTCCCACCTGTAATGGAGGGGTGTTCTCCTTGCTCCACATCCTCTACAGCATAAGTTGTCCTATGTATTTTATATTGTAGCCATTATGGCAGGTGTAAGATGGAATTTCAGGGTAATTTTGATTGTATCTCCCTGATGGCTAAGGATGGTGAACGTCTCAATTGTTTCTCTGCCATTTGAGATTCTTCTGTTGAGAATTCCGTTTAGATCTGTACCCCTATTTTTTAATTGGTTTATTTGGTTTGCTGATATCTAGTTTATTGAGTTCTTCACACATTTTGGAAATCAGCTCTCTGTCAGATGTGGTGTTGGTGAAGAAATTTTCCCATTCTGTAGACTGCCATTTTGTCCTATTGGTAGTGTCCTTTGCCTTACAGAAACTTTTCAATTTTATGAGGTCTCATTAACTAATTATCAGTCTTAGTACCTGAGTTATTGGTGTTCCATTCAGGAAGTTGTCTCATGTGCCAATGCATTTGAGATTATTTCCCACTTTCTCTTTTATCAGGTTCAGTATATCTGTATATATGTTGAGGTCTTTGGTCCATTTGGACTTGAGTTTTGTGCAGGGTGGTAGATAGGGATAGATTTGCATTCTTCGTCATGCTAATATCCAGTTAGACCAGTACCATTTGTTGAAGATACTTTCTTTTTTCCATTGTATAATCATGGTTTCTTTGTCAAGTATCAGTGTCCCTCAATGTGTGGATTTACATCTAGGTCTTCAACTTGATTTCTTAGATCCATCTATCTCTTTTTAATGCCAACACCACATGCATTTTATTACTATAGCTCTGTAGTGGTTCTTGAAATCAGGGATGGATGATACCTCCAGAACTTCTGTAGCAAGAAATCCACAGATGCTTGGAAAGAAGACTTATTTATTAAGGGATGAAATAGGAAATACACACGCATACACACAGACACACACACAGACACACAGACACACACACACACAGACACACACACACACAGACACACAGATTCATTGGGAAGTGACACCATTGCTTCTTCATCCACCAGGGAAGGATGGAGAAAGCTTCAGACCAGTTCACTGAAAGATGCATCAGGAAGCCTTCCATGTTCAAACCAGAGAGCACATGACCCCCCCCCAGGACCCCATGGCTAGTCATTGACTAATTCGATCAAGCTTCCACAACAAAGTTTTTTTTTTTATTTTAAATAGCTTGTTTTACATGTCAATCCCAGTTCCCTCTCCCTACCCTCCTCCCACACCCACCACCATCCCCCATCCTCCCACCCTATTGCCAATTCCTTCCACATAGGGGATATCTAGAGTCTGTCATTTCACTCAGGGTAGGGTCCAGGCACTCCCCTAAGAGTCCAGGCTGATAGAGCATCCCTCTTTGTGTTATGGACACACGATGTCTGTTAGTATTCGAGGGATAAACACTGATCCACTGCTCAGGACCCCATAGGTTGCTCAGGCCTCCTCAAGGACTCTCACATTCAGGGGGGTCTGGATCAGTCCCATGCTCGCCTCCCAGCTGTCGATCTGGGGTCCAAGAGCTCTCCCCTGTTCGGATCAGTTGTCTCTGCTGGTTTTGCCAGCCCATTCTTTGCCAATTTGCTCATCGCTCCTCTCTCTCTGTCACTGGGTTCCTTGGGTTCAGTTCAGTGTTTAACTGTGGGTGTTTGCCTCTGCTTCCATCAGTCACTGGATGAAGGCTCCAGGATGGTTATAGACATCAAATTCATTATCAGGAATGGGCATTCGGGGTGGTCTCTCCACTATTGCTTAGCTTGCCAATTGGTGTCATCCCTTTAGATCACTACTAGAGGTCACACTGGTGCCAGATCTGTCTTCTAACCTATGATTCCCTCTTCCCCCTGACCTACCCCCCAGTCAACCTTCCTGTTCCCCCATGACCTACTCTCTCTTCCTCTTCTCCCCCTCTCTATTTCCCAGCTCCCCCCCCACCCCTCGCCGTG